TCGTGTGCTTTATGTCTTCCTGTCACTTCCTCGTTGCTCGCTGCGGGTTTTTTTCCAGCGCTGAAGATGAATTTCCCTGCAGGCTGAAATAAAGTGGATATGCTCTTATCTAATCTGCCGCAGTATGAAGTGCGAGCTGATAAGATTCATGATAAAAACACATCGGGATCAGACCACCGGTCACACATCCGCGGCCCGACGTGTCGTCGAACGCGGCTCCGTGGGAGGGATGTCGAGGAGGATTAAGATGCAGCCTCGAGGGGGGTGAAAGCGTCCTCCTGCTGCAGTCTTTAAGTGCTCGGAGACAGCGTCTGGTCATGAATTAGTGTCACTTTCACCCAGTGTTCACCAACTTCCTGCATTAGCGTCACAAGGAGCATCACATTAGAGGCCTTCATCGTACCCGATACCCGATAAATTAAATCCAGATTTGTTATTACCGCGCCGGCGCTCGGGTCGGCCACGGGGAAAGGGTTCGCCGCGCTAATCCAAAGAAGACGCGCATCGAGTTCGCTGTTAATGGAATTACGGCGAGCGTGATAAGAGGCTCGGTCAGAGGAGCAGTCTCTCTCTTATCGCCGCCATCCCCGGGAAAAAAAAAAAACTTAATGGAAAACATGCTATCTTCTTCTTAATGACAGGCCAGTGTTAGTGTAGCGTGACAGTGAAACAACACGCGTTAAGAAGAGTCCTGCAGGAGCGGGATTAAATGCACTGCGGGCGGTAATCAATCTGCATTGTTTACAGCCGCTGTCGGCCTGATGAGGAGCCCCGCTGCACTCCCGCCAAGATTAGATGCTGTTTGGTCGGCATAAAGAATCAGTCAGGGGAAGCCCCGACCAGCGGCTGGCCGGCCGGCTGCAGCGGTAATACATCAGAGCAGACAGCTACACGGGCTAATGTTACTCTGAGAGGAGGAGGGAGAGGGAGAAAGAGGGGAGGCTGAAAATTGGAAAGGAGTCCAGTTTGTTCTGAAGATTACGGTCCACTCCCTCCTGTAATTTTTCATATGATGCAAATGTTCAACAGGCTGAAGGAGCAACTTGTTCACTTTTCTCTCACTTATTCACAGAGAGCAGGCGGCTGGTTCGAAGCATCCCTCCAGGACAGTTTGAGGCCTCCAGCAGAGTCTTGAAACAGAAGCTTTAATGTGTTTCTGAGGAGGAGGAGGAGGAGGAGGAAGGGGAGGAGGCTGTGGAGGTAAAGCCAGTTGTCTGTTCACCTTCTGACCTCTGCAATAGAAACGGTCCGCTGGTGCCTACATTGGTAAGTTTGCTTAATGTGATGTAATTTCTTGGAGTATCTTGAAATGTTATCCCTTAAACCTGTACAACCTATAAGCCAAAGTTAAAGCTATAAGTCATAAAAATTGAAAAAAGTGTTGAAATTGAGTCATAAATGTGAAAAAATACATACATTTGACCAGTTTTTTTCATCAGATTTTATTAAATAAAAACAGCGATTCAAAAGTTTTCTGAATGTAGAAACATGAACAAAATGTTTATGGACACTCCACGCTTACTTTCCTACCACCTAATGTTCTTCCTAACCTCTTCACTACATCCTTCCTTCCTAATACTTATACTTGCTTGCCTGCTTACCTTCTTCTCTATAGCCTAAAGGAGGAGAGGTAAGTAAAGGAAAGAAGGCGGTAGGAAATAAAAGAATCAAAGAGGAAAAGAAAGTAGGGAAGGATGAGATGAGGGCAGAAAATGAAGTGGAGAAGGAAAGGAGGATGTAGGGAATACAAGGTGGTAGGTACAAAAGGAAATACAAGAAAGAGTAAGGTAAGGAGGGAAAGGAAAGGAAGGAAAGAAGGTGGTAGGAAATAAAATATTCACTTAAGGGGAGAAAGAAAATACGAAAGTAAGGTAGGAAAGGTGATACAAGCAGGGAAAGAGGAGGTGAGGGCAGGAAAAGAAAGTAGGAAAGAAGGAAATAAATGAACAATATATAAAGGAAACAGGAACAATTAGGAAAGGAAACAAGGATGTAGGAGTGGGTAGAGGAGTAAAGGTGGAGGGAGAACAAGAAGATGTGGAGGGAATAAAAGGAAACAAAGAGGAGTTTTCATTATTTTATTCAGAATTTAATCATTTTAATACAATTTCTCATCTTTATGTAACAGAAAACAATGAGATCTTGTGTGTTTCAAGGTCATATGATGTCACCTTGAACAAGCACCCAGGATCAGAATCTGAACTGAATGAGTTTCGGAGGGAGACAGGAAGTCGTTTGAGGGCCACTGCGTTGGAAACATCCACAGACGGTTGGATCCGGGGCGTCTGAGCACAGATTGGTATTGATGAAAACCTTCATGACAACAACCTGGAGACAGACGGGAGAGAAGGAAACATTAAAAATCTACTTCCTCCTGGTGTGATGGAGAGCCGGAGGCGACGGGAGGATGAGATGGATCGCACGCTCGGCTCTGATTGGACCGGCGGCCGCACCTTTAAAGGAAAAAAAAAGCTAGTGTCAATTGGCTGTTGACTTTTTAAGTGTGGCGGCGATCGATCGTTGGGAGTCGTGTTATTGATGAGGTGGCGGTGGCGGCGTAGGGGGGGGTGATGATTGAGACAGACGCTCAGAGGAGGAAAGCATCGTGTCACACCTTCAGAGTGAATGGGAACAACCTCCTCACGACGTGTTGAACTCAGACGACTGATGCTGTTTTCCTTTCTGTTAATCAGCCGTGTAAAAGTGTATTTTCATACTCTTTGTTGAAGGCACTAATTGGCAGCGTGTGTCAGATTTGATTTTAACTAATTGGCAATTTGGAAACAGAAATTAATTCAATCAAATGACTTTTATTTACATGTGAGTGCAGCGTGCAGCATACAAACCCAACCGTATGAGGCAAATGTTGTATGTAATTATATTATTATCAGGTTGGGTTTCATAAAAGAGAGAAAATGATGAGGAGGTAAAAAAGTTGTTTCTTTACTTTCCTACCATCTTATCTCCTCTCCTAACCCCTTCCCTACATCCTTCCTTCCTGTCCTTTCCCGTTTTTCATACTTGCGAGGTAAGGAAAGGAAAAGAAGGTGGTGGGAAGGAAAGCTAGGAAGTCAGGTAGGGAAGGGGTTACAAGTAGGGAAGAAGGAGGGGAAGGAAGGAAAAGAGGTAAGAAAGGAGCCCTCCCTGTTTTGTCTCTTTTGTTCATTCCCAAGGAAAAGGTGGGAAAGGAAGGAAGGGTGTAGTGAGGAGCTTAGGAAAGGAAATGAGGTGGTAGGAAAAAATAATAGAGACAGGAAAGGAAAGGGGCATGTAGGGAAAAGGTTAAAAAAAAGAAGGGGGTGAGGAGCACATAGAGCCTTCCTCTTCTTCCCTGTTTGCTTGCCTGCTTACCTTCCTCTCTGTATCCTAAAGGAGGAGAGGTAAGTAAAGGAAAGAAGGTGGTAAGAAATAAAAGAATCATGGAGGGAAGGAAAGAAAATACGTTAGGAAAGGAAATAAAAGCAGTGTAGGAGGAGGTAAGAGTAGAAGAGAAAGTGGGGAAGGAAAGGAGCATATGGGAAACAAAAAAACAGTTTACGATGGAAAAAAGAGAAAAGAAAAGAGTGGTAGAGGAAGGAAGGATGTAGTGAGGAGGTTAGGAAAGGAAATGAGGTGGTCGGAAACATCTAAGGGATAAGCAAAGGAAAGAAGGTGGTAGGAAATAAAAGAACCACTTAAGCAGGGGAAAGGAAAGAAAAGATAGGAAGTCAGGTAAGGAAGGAGATACAATAGGGAAGGAGGAGCATGCAGAAAACAAAAGAAAGGGGTATGGAAGGAGGAAAAGGAAATATAGGAGGTGGTAGGAAGGTGGGAAAGGAGACAAAGAATACGGGAAATGTTGTTACTTCATGCACCTGCAGCCTTGTGTCTCTTCTGTCAGGTGGAAGATTGAACTGAGTGTTGCAGCCCTTGAAGGCGTCTCCTTGAGCATCTACAACTTGGATTGCACCTAATTTTATACGTCACGGACAAAAACGATGGATGATGAAGAGGAGGAAGTCTCAAATCTTTGCACTCAGGTCCCTGCTCCAGCTCACTGACAGTATATATAATGGACAGAGCTTCAGGGTCTGTGAAGTTTTAAACCTGCATTCTCTCTAATGGCCAGCAGGGGGCAGCTCCATTGGCTGCAACAAAAAAAGCCAGGTAGTATCGAGTCTTATGGGGAAACGGGCCGACTTCTCATTTGACTTATTAGCTTACAAATGAGTTTATGGCATAATGAGAAACTTCATAAAAATGTTTAAACTTTTACGGATTTACGTGTGTACGCATATTTTTGTTGATCATTATGAATGAATGTTGGCGTGTAGCCTACAGTTTGTGTCACAAACCAATCCACTTCTGTTTGGGCCTCCTCACTGGTTCCTACCCCACAGAAGGATGCCACGAGTTAATGCTAAAACATACTATGATGGTTATCCCATGCCGCTAGTACCTGAAATCTTGGAGTCCGTGCATGGGGCCCAGTACTTTAGCTCTCTGGATCTCCAGAAGGGGCACTGGCAGGTGGTAATATTAAGTGTAACTTCACTTAAGCCTTGATCACCTTGATTACTGATTAACCTCACAAAATCACAAAGCCAAAAACAGCTTTAACTCATAGGTTATCCTCTCCACAGAAGTCTTGAGTTAAAGGTCAAAGTCTGGTGTCATCCCAGTGACTAGGCTCCTTCTGCCATTACCACAACCTCTTTTCAGTCTGGTTGCGGAGAAACTCAAGGCCCTGCTGTGAGACACCCTCAGAAAAACCCAAAGGCCTTCAGACTGTCGCCGAGGAGTCTGGAAAACTGAAGGACAATGATAAGTTCAAAGGATCTTGTGGACCTTTTAGCCCTGTTAGCCCCTTTTTCTGAGTGGAGTTTGAATACTCTACCCACGTATGTTAGGTGAAGTCTCCAGTCAATACACTTAGCCTGAACATTCCCACAACAGCGCTGACTTGGTAGTTGGTACAATCAAATCAGTCAAGGTGCCTCTTATTTTTTCTTCTTAAAAATCAGGGGAGAGTTCAAAGACAGTCCCCTACTAGAAATTATGTAGTCACTTTTGGCACATTCAGGGAAGTCGGAGGGGTCAGCACAGCCAGATTGCAATGATTAAGCCTCACCCTGGGTGAGCTACCTTCTTGATCATGGTATCTCCCCTGCCAGGTAAGTGTGAGTTGGCTGTGACTGAGAAGTGAGAGAGACAAGGAAGTCATTACGTTAAAAACGATGATGATGACGACAATATCTATGACCACGGCAGCAGGCACAACCAGAATCCGGTCTACAATTGAACCAATAGAATTTTGTGCAAAGTTTGATGAGTTTTCGACCATGTTAAAACCTATTCATGCTAACTTACTCAGCATTTAGTTTTTTAGATAAAACTATTCAGAGAATAAACTTCTCCCTACTTTGCTGTATGGATAGTGAAGGTATTATCCTGTATTGTTGGCAACTTATTTAACATTAGTTTTTGTAATTTATTGACAGTTTGTGAATACAATCTACCTAAAATGTATTTACTAAATAATAACAATAATAATAATAATTAGAGAATAATGTCTTTCCTACGTACACTTTGTACTTTAGGGTTTGTTTGCAGAGGAGTAAAGTTAAATTAAAAATGAGTTGGAGAGCTCCGAGATAAAGATACGTGAAGGTATGGATGGTAGTGTTTTACTGACACCCACTTGTGGAGCATGAGGTCGCCATTATAGACTATCAGATGTTTCCCAGGTAGTTGTAATTCTGGAACTTCTGATAAGGAAAAAACTCAAATGAAAACAACCCCTCAAGTTCCTCCTCAGAAGGTCGGGTGTGTTTTCCCAAACATGGCTGCCCACACAGTGAACGTATTATTTTATAAAAAGTATGCAGCTAAAATAACTTTGAGCGTGGCGTATGCTGAATTGTTTGTACGGTGTCAGCACAGAGGTCAATAATGACGCATTTCCTGCTCTGGATGTCCACCTACAACCACAAACTAATGCAGCATTTATTCCCATTTAATGTCCTGACTCTCATTTGCTAATTAGTCGTAATGTACTGACCCTGTTGACCCTGCAGCAACACCTGACATGTACCATTATTCAAACTTATCCACTACAAATAAGTTAAAAGCAACAAAAATATGTGCAATGACGAAAACGTAAAAGCTAGTTGGATTAATGTTTTTTCTTTTATTGTGTTTTTTTATGTTGTAACTCCCTGTAGGTTTAAAACACTGGATTAAAACATCTTTCCAATGCTATACAAGTTTATGCATCTGTATCCATAATGAAAATACAATCTGTCAAAGATCCAGTCTGTAATCTTCTGCATACTGTTTGTATCTTTGTGTCACAACCTGGCTCAAAAGAGGGAGACCTCACAGTCAGAAAATATTTAACATTATTAAATAAAGAATAAATACAAATAAACAATACACTTTAATATGTCTGTATGTCTGGAATGTCTGTGTGAGTGAGAGGTGAGGTATATAAGACAGAGCTGCCAGCACAAAGTTGAATATCCTGTTTACATTATAGACAAACTGGAGAACTTTAACCTTACATGTTAAAGATGAAATGCGCTTCACACTCTCCAACCTCAGCAGCCTTTGCGCTTGGAGCAGTATAAGAGGAAGGGAAACAGAGGCTGCAGGGGACAGTGTAAAAGGCATGATTGAAATTACAGTAATTCAGCTGGTAGGAGTTGAACTAACAGGACGTTCAATACCTTGTTTGTCAGCTTGAAGGAGTACTGCACCTGCTCCAGCGGGGTTTGCATCCACATGAAGCTTGAAAGGCTGATCCAAGCGGGGAGCTAACAGAACTGGAGCAGATTGCAACACGAGGCAGAGCAGATATAATTTTGCTTTTGCCTTCAATAAGTCAGTCAGAGGAGAAATACAAACATATCACTGGAACTCTGATACTTTTATGGCACCAAACAAATTGCGTCGATACTACCGAGTATCGGAAGATGTCTTGTCATTCAGTACCAACAAAGTAAAAGTACTACTAGGTAATTATCGGTATTGTTATGATACTCAGTCCTATGAATCACCACCTTGGATAGTGCCGTATTCTTGTGCATTTACTCCAGTGAAAGGTGAATAAAATGTACAATTCTCTGGAGAGGAAACTTTGGCTGATTGACAAGAGTCACAGTGTGGATTTTTGTCCCGGTTGTTGAACGATGGACCAGCTCTTTAACTTTGGAGGAATACTTGAAGAAGAATGTGCTTTGTGGATTTGGCCAGCCATAACTACAAGCCATTTGGTCCTTGCATAACCAGCAAGTTGTGTTTGTATTCTCAGCAGGAAGTCAAGTCTGTTGGTGGTGGGTTCTGGGCTCCCAACACTGTCCCCTAGAAAGTACGTTGGTATATTACTAAATTGTTTTCATAGTTAAATTGTGGTTGGAAAATGTGTTTAATATCTTGTTTGTGCTAGCTGTATTAGCATAGACTCCGATCCGCCAGGTGAGTGTTAAGATCTGTCGTACAATCTTACAAATGGACAGACTTTTTTCCAACTTTCCTTCCTTCTTACAGAATCCAAATGTCTTCCAAACTTTAGATTTTAGATTTGATGGTGTTTGATGCTTCAGTCAAGATCATAACTTTAGAATCGGACCATCGAACTGGTTCATAGTACATTTACATTGATCCAGGGATCTGCGTACTAATGTTGTCGCATCTATAACTTTAAAAAAGTCTTTACACCCCAAATGGACACACATTGATTTATTTGAATGTAAAATGTAAAAACGCCAAAATATTTGAATAGATAACAGATTGTACTCCTATTTACTCAGCTCTATGTAGTTTTTATCAGTTGGAGGGACACACAGCCATAGTAACAATATAGATTGTGAGGTGTCCTTGGTCCCTGTAGCAGCTTCAGTTGATCATAATGGATGCCAATGGAAGACGTTAGCTAGGAATGCTAATAAGTGGTGCTACTTACGTGTGTTGTCAGGGTTACTATTATGCTGATGACACCGCTTTATGTAGTCATAAATTAAAATGAAATGTCTTTATTGATTATATTCAACAAAGTTCTCATGTGCCCAGTGGCTCACCTGCTTGTGCACATTGGTGTCATGAAACCAATAAAATGTAAATTTGTCAGTTTTTAATTTTTCCTCTGAGGACTCAGGACACGCAAGTTGCACAAACGAGATCGATATGATGTTGCAGAAAATATGCATTTTAAATCCAGTCGGACCACTTTAACAAGTCAATCTGAATATTGACTGTTGAGCTTACTGTAAGCACATCATTCAATACAGCCTGTTTCTCCTGCCCACTGGGCCTCCTCTCACTTTCAACTGGACAGTCTTTGATGTGTCGTGTTAAATAGGTGAACCCTCTTTGTGACCAATTAGGCTTCAAACAAAAGCGTTTGAGAGCCACGTCCATTATTTGTTGATGCGTCATTTAGAGAGCTGAGAGACAATACTGTCCATTAGCCGAGGGAAAATCAATACACCAGAGATTAATGGGCTTTTTAACAGAGCACAATTATATTCCAACGTGTTTGGATGCACCCTCCAGCTCTAAAAGGACTGTTTAATTTCCTGCATATGAGACCACACACTCATGGCTGTAATTATGTTGTGCAGAAGTCCATTGGCGGCAACTCTCCGGTGACAGGTATCCATGTGGTTCTGGATAGATCAATACATTTCCATTCAGGTTATCAGAGAGCGAGAACAATTTCGATGTTGCCCCTTCAGCAAAAAAATAAATTATAAATGACAGAAGAAGAAAAGGGAAAATGAATAGGAGAAATCATGCTAGTAGGTGGGGGGGAAAGCAGAGCTCTCATTAAAAACAGAGAAATAAAAACACAGACTGTCACACAGAAGAGATGGAAGGAAAAACATAAGAAAATAAAACCCCGGAGACAGCTCGGCATGCTGCGACTCCGCGGCTAATTAGCCGAGTGGAGGAAAGGAAGTGCCGCCGTATGGAGATTCGGCCCGGACGTCCTGCTGCTGGACGAGGTGGAGACGCCTGAGCAGCCGGGTCGCCAAAGGCCGCACATTTCAATTCACGAGGTATTCTGGTAATGAGGCAGGATTTCTTCTGCATTCAGGGACTGAATGCCTTTGTATACAAAATGCCAAGAATAGACGGAGGAGGGAGGAAACTGAATCCGCCTCCACCAGTTCTGTATGTCAATTCTGCTGCTTGAGTATTTCTATTTTCGATGACTTTATTCTTAAATATTTTACCAACTGGGGAGACAGAAGCTACTTTCTACACCACTTCATTTATCTGCCTGTGGAAGTTACTGGTTATAGTTTGAGGATAAGTACTTTTTATGCATTAATTGTTGGGTCTTAAACTCAAATTGTCTTGGGGCCACATTTAAGGACTAGAAGAAAGAGCAATATTCTGAAAATGTCTTTATTCGAAACCTGCTCTCTTCTTATCAACCCTTTGCATGCATTTGCAAACACCTTTGACCTTTTGTCATTATTTTGCACCAGATGAAATAATCAATAAATGTCTTTATTTTATATTTAAAGAGTTCATTTATATTGATATAAAAACAGCTACAAAAAAAAAAAAACAATGAGGTTGCTCCATTTAGGGTTTAATCAGGGTTTATTTTAAGCCTTATGTTCATATTGTAGCCTTATTTATTCAACTATTACAACTAATCATAACAACTTATATATTACGTAAAAAGTAATTATGAATTGACAGCAGTTTATTTATTGGGCAATATGTCGCACATCTGTTTCTCATTAAAATACTAAAATGAAGTATGTGTGTCAAAGACTGAATAACCTTCCTGAGGAATAAAATAAAACAAAGCAACATCAGCCAAGATGACAAATCGTAACACACAGCTCTAGAAATTAAACGTTTCATACGGTTGCTCCAGCAGGGCGCCCGTAGGCGGAGCGGCCGATCAGGTGCGAGCCACCGGGTGATCAGTAGGCTGATGGGCAGCAGGTGTGGAGGCTGCAGACTGACTGTGCTGCTCTGTGGGCTCTTTACAATCTTATACACTTAAAAACACTGAGAGCGGAGTAAGTGTCGGCAGGAGGCAGAGCACCGACTGCTGTTTATTTTAGCATTGTGTATTTTAATTTTAGTATCTTAGCTTTTATGGTTCTCTGTATAATTGTTTTTATATAGTTTAGGGTTTTAATTCTCTCTTTGTTTGAC